ATTTTGTAATTCATGTTATTAAGGAATTTGACTCATGCTCCCCCCTCTTACCACCTCATTCCCTGGATGTCGATCGACAATAAGCCTGTGGGCTGGCACCCATCTTCTCTGAGCCATCTGTGTCAGCTCCTCTACCTGACCCTGCCCATAAATCATCCTTCATAGACCTCTGGTGAGGGTGTGCAGGCAACAGAGAGCTTTCCCCAGCATCCAGCCATGCTTCAGCGCTCGGGTACCTGCTCAACCATGTTTTCGGGGAGATACCTGGGAGTCATACAGCTGCTCCTGAACTGTGTGTGTGTGTGCATCCCAAACATTATGTTTCACATAACGCCTGTCATGCCAAAGACCATGCTAGCAACTGGGATGCAGTAAGTTGATCTCCTTTGGCAAGAATTAGAAACCACATCTCTGTCCCAAGGTACTCAGGAGAGGGCAGGTAATGCGAAGGGCCAGCATCACCCAGCACGTGTGGGGCAGATGTGTCGGGGCAGGGCTGCCAGCCTCCCCCGCTCCAAAGCTGCCTGCGTGATGCTGCCAGTGCTGCTGCCCCAGGGAGCTCTTTGGCTGCCTGCCCTCACTGTCCTGCTCTGCTGAGGACCCAGAAAGCGTGGAGAACAGCAGGGCTGCAGCACACTGAGGTGAACTCCTGGAGCTGGCTTAGGGGAGGCTTCCTTTGCTTCAGAAGTGGGCTCTGTAATGGGTCAGTAAATGCAGCAGCTCTAAAGCCCTTTTGCGGGGAGGAGCGAATGCCCTTGTTCCAGGAGAGAGCCTCAAGCACTAGCTGGAGAACTGTGCTTCCTCTTCCTGACACTGTGGATGTCATCTTCACGTCTTATCCCTGCAAAATGAAGAGAACTTCTCCTGCTTCTTTGGCATAGCTTGTGGCCCAGTAGACCAGCCAGGACAGATTGTGTCACATCGAGTCTGGCTTGGGACGTGGGAAGGGATAGCAGCCTCTCTCAACAACTTGTTTTGCATGTGCCTATGTGGGCTCAATTCCTTCAGCTGAAGAAGGGGTGTGAAGCTGAGTCTCCTGGCCCCTTGGCAAACCCCCAGAGTACAGTATTTTTCTGGAAAAGAAGGCAGCATTCCTTCTTCCTTAAGCCTTTTTCTTTTACTAAAGAGGTCCAGCAAGGTCCTTCAAAATCAGGCCTATTGAGAGCTGGGAATCACAACACATCTCTGTCCTCAGCTATCTTATCAGCAAATAACAACCAAGCTTTCCCTCACATCTGGGGCAGGATCCCACCTGCAGCATGGGCTGCCCAAATGCCAGAGAAGTCCAAGAGGGAGCAGGTGAGGCTGCCCCTTCTCTGGTGACAGTCATGTGCCTGGACTATTGATGCAGGGACACACGACTTTTAGGTGTTTGCATCATTTGTAAAGAAAGGTCCTGGGCATTTGGCATTTGGCTGCTCTCTGTGTCTTGAGTATCCTTGTAAAACTTATTTCAGTAGGGCAGTGGGTGAAGTGGCTGGGACACACCTGCTCCAGTAGATAGGTGATACTTTAGAGACCAGGGAACAGCTTGGAGAAAAGAGAGTGCCAGCAGCCTAAGTTACTCTTTTCTTCTTCCTTGTGGCTGAGTCTGCTCTTCACATTGTCACAGAACTTCAAGTCTCAGCAGGTCTTGACTGAGGTCAACATGTCAGGCTGAGGGGCACCCCTGTATCAGACACCCTGTCCCCCTTTGGGGGTGCTGCAGTGCCCTGCAGTCAGCATCCACTGCACCTCTGAGGAACCATGCTCCCACCATTGCTGGAAGCAAACAGTCAGAAGCTGCTGTTGTGCTGTGTTTTTCACAGCTCTCTGTGTTTTGCTGGTGCTTCCCATGTTTTGTGCAAAATGTCCCAGTATTGCTCAAGGTAGCAATGCATTTCTTTGCCCAGTACCACATAAATTACAACTAAAATGTGTGTAAGCCTATGTAAAGCTGTTCTCCCCATTTCAAAACATTTGAGCTGTTATGTTGTCTGAAGCACAATCAACTCTGTTCCGGATTCTCTCTCCCCCTGCTGTATGCATCTGTGGATACTGCCTGAGTGCCACCTTTCCTTACTCACAGATCCCAAATATCCAGTCGAGTCTCACTATCAAGTGACAGTGGAAGGCAAAGCAACTTAAGAGACTGTTTCTTTTCTGAGTTACACCTCTGTAAATCCAGAGCAATTCTAGGGGAATCAACCTGAACCAGCATCAGCAAATTTGCTCTTAGTTTGCACACAGAATGTTTGTCATCATTGTTATTATTAAATGATGTCTTTATATTCCAGGTCTATTTTTAAAACAAAGGCAATGAAGTTTGGGCATCCAGTTCTATATATGGACACTCCAAATGGCATTGAAATGCCTCATGCATGTGTTTGGCTGAGTGTTGATTTGAGTGTCCAAATATGGACCTCAGAATGGGATATCTCACTTGGATAAGCATCCTTGCAAATTTGGCTCACAGCACTTATTTGAACAAAGCAAATTTATTTCTATCATTTAGCACAGAAAAAGCACAAATTGTTTTCATTTTGAGGGACATCCTTATTCACAGAATCGGGCCACTCAAAAAACTGTCATGTGTAGTAGTTCTGAAAAAAATAAAGCTCTCAAAATCATCTAAGATAACAGGGGAGGAAATTAATTCAGAGTGCTTGCAGTACGCAGACCCCCTTTTATCACAAGGGCAAAATTCTCGCTGACAGCAAGAATTCAGTGGTAGCAGAAGGGCCCATGCAGCTTGATCACAGCAAACTCCCCCTCTGCCCCGGCAGTGTGAAGGGATGCACGCACAGCCAGCTGCTCTGAGACCTGAGGCAAAACTGCCTCTCTCTGCTGATGGAGACAGTGCCTGCATCCCAAAACTGCATATGAGCAAGAGCTGGAGCGATGGCTGTTGCACGCAGGAACCTTCCCCTGTATCTCCCAGTGCACAGGATTTTCTTTGTCTGGCTCCTTGATGGCGAGTTCTCCAGGAAAGGGCTTGGCTTGGCTATTAGGTCTTAGTGCTCAATAAATAATGTCAGCAGCAAGCAGGCACCGTTCTGCAAGTGTTTGCTGGGTTCCTGTTAATTACAAAGGACCTTTACATCCTTTGTGTAATTTCATTCATTTTGTTGGCATCATACAAGGGATGGATTTGGCCTCAAAAATAAAGCAGGTTTCTCTTGAATAATGTATTGTACCATTTGGTCTGCATTTTCCTCAAGGTTTATGTATACTTGGATATTCCTCCACATATATGCAGCTGGAGATATTTTTTCAATAGCAAACAATGAACTGATTCAGCTGTCCAAAGCAGTTGTTCACATTTCTGAATTTTGGGGTAAGATGTTAAGAAAGTATAAGGTGAGAAAATTCTCAGGAAAGCTAAGGTAAGTTTGTAATCACTGTAAACATGTGAAGCCAGCTCTAGCCTAGATCACTTTCTCTACCTCTGCTGTCCTGATGATTTTTGACAAGCTGATTCCATTTCTAGAAAATAAAACCAGTTCACCATAGAGAAAGATTTCTCTAAAGAGTCTGCTGTTTTTCAGAAGAGTGAAAATGTGTGCTAACAATTCTGGACCACTGACAAAAGCAAAATCAATACACACGGCCTTTGTTTTACAGCCAAGTTCAGATGAATAAATAGAGATGCAGCAAGCTGTTTACTAGGGAGACAAGCTTTGCTCTACGTGCCCTTCCAAGCAGGCATGCTTAGGCTGTTGTTGTTTGCCTTACATGGCTGGTTAATGAAATCAGTCAAATAGTTCCAGAGCTCACTGGACATTTCCAAGCCCTCCATCAGCAGCGCTGGCTGTGCTGGCCAAGAGCTGGAAAGCAAATGCTATTGTGTGAGATAGCTGTGGCAGAGGTCTGGGGGCACTTGGGAGGAGTTTGGTCCTTCGAAGAACCTCTGACTTCAGGGGGAGTTCATGTACAGAAAAGCCCCATCCTCACAAAAGGCAGGCAGAATACTCTCTGTACACAGCCCCGCAGGCAGCATGAGAAAACTGCGCTTGCACAGATCCTCTCAAAATCAATGAAGCTGCAGCCACTGCATCTACCCAGGGATCTTCTCCAAGATCAGGACCTAACTCTGCACTGTGCTAAGTGCAAGGTTTTTTCTCCCTATGCCTTAAACACTGCAGAAACTGAGAAGTGTCAAGGGAGGCACGAAGATGGAAGGGCCATAGATACAGCTTTCAAGAACAGCTTACACATATTTTTCTGCGGCTTCAGACTCAGGGGTCTTTTTGTCTGTGACCAGGCAGGTAGAGGAATGAATAACTGCATACACAAAGAAGGGAAAAAAAAGAAAAATAAAACAACAGCACGTTTAAGTGCATTTTTTTTCTTGGAGATTTATTTTGTTTTAATAAATCTGACACCAGTCAGGGAGAGAGAAAAGCGTTGCAAGACCAAAAGGAAAGCAGAGCACGCTGAGGGTGCTTCAGATTCTTGCTCTCTTGAAGATGTTTCATCAAAATGTCTTTGAGCTCTCTCCCTAGACTCAGGACTTGTTGGATTCCCGCCCACCACCCACCCCTTTTTTTTTTGTTGATTTTTTTTGTTTGTTTGTTTGTTTGTTTTTTTAAAAAGCGAGCTTACTCGCCCGGTGTGATTTCCAAGCTTTCACAGCTCTAATAAATAAGGAGCACCTGTAAAACAGTAGCTTGACTTAAGTGAATCTGTACAAAGGAAAATATAGAAATACAGTATATACATAGTGCTCATAGTGCACCATCACTACAAGGCTCTGGTTCGACTGATTCTGCTGCCCTGCTCCCAACACCACTGACACAGACTCCGCTCCTGTAAACTGCTCCTTTCTTCCCCACAGCAGCCTTATAGAAAAGGTGTACTCTGAACACTCAAGAGTGAACAATTGCTTTATTCGAGTTAGTAAACAGTTACACTGAATCACAAGGTGATCTGAATTTTTTTTTTAAGTTTTTTCTTTCTTTTTGATTTTTTGTGGGGTTTTTATGGGTTTTTGTATTTTTTTTCTTTTCTTTTTTTTTTTTTTTCTTTTTTATTTGTCAGAATGGGATACTCCACAACTCTCTTACCAATTCAGTGCCAGTATAACATGCTCTAGTGTACTTTTGGACTCTTGGCTACAACTGTACAAGTGCACACAAGTAAATTCTACCCTGTTATCCTCCACCCACTGATTGAGGATCAAATTGCACATTTCTCTTAACCATGACAGGAGAAAGCAAACAGTGAAACAGAATCATGGGGGATCTTTCTCATTTTACCCTTGTTTTCATTGGTTTGTCCATACCATTCTAATTATCATGAAAGGGCTATGCATATGGAGAGATTGTCTCACTGCCTTCCTGGATCACTGAAAACCATCAGGGTTGAAATTTCATCCAAGTCTTTCGTGACGCCCAGCAAATATTCCCCTCAGATTATTTTACACCTTGAGGGAATTTTGGTCTTTAGTTCAACACTCTTGCTCTGTTCCCAAATGGGGCGCTATTTAGGGGAATTTAAAGAGAAAGCTGAGAAGAATAAACATTTACTGAGTTCTCTTGGCATTCAGTCTCTGAAAAACCACAGTATAAACTATTCATGCTGCTTCTTACATCTGTCAAATCAAAAATTAAAAGCCATAAAAGTGTAACACTGAAAATATGGCATTAGAAAGGATAAAGGTGGCCTTTGTAAAAATAACAAGGAAAGTATATTAGCCAATAAAATATTCTAACTCTTCATTTAAAAGTGCATCATGGGTAGGACAGAGATGACTCTGAAGCGTTGCTACTCCAGTATTACCCCTTTCCCCCATCAAAACTTGAATAGGTCCAAAACCATACAATGCAAATCACGATTCTTAGTGTAGCAGCAAAACCACAGCAGTTTTTCAAAGGAAAAAAAAAAATTTAAAAAAAAAATCCGTATCATTGCCCAGTCTCAAATATCTGAACTTCGAAGTCAGTGAGGGAAAAGTACCTATGTTGGTCCGTGTGGTTTTTGAAACCCAGGTGAAAAATCCCCACCAGCAAGAAACCAAGAGGAAAAAGCGTTCCGAGAGGAGAAGAGGGGTGGTCGCAGGAATGCTGAGCACACTGTGTGGATTGATGATGTGCTGTCTTCTGGGTCAAAGGCACCCGTGGGACCGAGACTTCCTCGGAGGGGCTTCATGACAGGAAGCTGCTTTCTTTGCTGAACTTTCAGCCAGAGGGGGTGGTGAGCGGACCAGCTGGTGTCATTCGGTGGAGTGACGTGGTTTGCTCTGCTCCCTTTCTCCATGCAAGGTACCCTGTCAGCGAGCACTCCTGCAAAGCAGACAAGCAGAGAGGGTCAGGGGGAGCAGCAGGAGGCTCATTGCAGGCAGGCTGGGCACTGCCTGAGCTCACATCCCACACAGCCTCACACTGGGCAGGCAGCCAGGCCGAGGCACAAGCCCACTGCTCTGGCCTCACCGGCCCCTCGTGCCTCGCGGGCCATTGGGACACACAGCCTCCAAGTTTGCTGGGAAGGAAGATGGAGGAATTCCTGTCATAAAAAACTGGAAACTGATATAATTATAGCTCATTCTCAACAACACTCTGGCAGTTATAAGCTCTTGAGTCTTAGTGTTTCTAAGGGCTACTGGGAGATACACCATTGTTTCATGTGTTTCTACTTCCCTTATCAGCTGGTTGTGTAAGATACCCAGCAAGGATTGTCCCCTCTACACAGTGAGCTTTGGACTTGATCTCCTTGGATGGAATCTGCTGTCCCCTACAGATCTGGACTGAAATTCTGCAGTACTTATCAGCCTTAGCTTTGGTGCTGGGGCACATTTTCTTAGTTTGCTCCATGATCTCGCTTTCACACTGGCTCCTCTGCAATCCCTCTCAACAATGTGCCTGTATTGCCTTGCCAAACCTCCACCCTCCTTAGAGCAGAGACTGGAAGGCACATGGAGTATGTCGACCAGCATAAACTTCCATGGCATGGAGACCATGATATCTAGGTTAAGGAGTAACGTTTGTGCTTTCAGGCAAGGTGCCCAGTGAGATGAGCTTCTTTGTGTGTACAGAGAGCTGTGAACAAGAACTAGACTGAGAACTGGGATGCACCCACCTACTAAGGTGAAGTACACGACTGCTTTCTGTCACATTTTTTGGCTTGAAGTCTTGTTGTAAAAAGGGAAGCAGAGAAAATGAAACCTGTAATGTCTGTATGAAGCCTCACACTGCTCTCTCTTTCCATACATCAACAGAAATGAATTTCCATCCCTCACTAACCAATCTCATGGTACATGGTACAGCACAGACCAATAAGGGATTTGGGAGGGAAGGCATAAAGAAGTTCAGTGGCTCTTGATGCTTTCTGCCAGGAGCTTCTAGCTGCATACGTTCTGTCTATTTTCCCGTGGTGCAGATGGACTCAGTGTAACAGGGTGTGCAGAATGGCGAGAAGGACTTTCCCTGTTGACTGGCTCATATGGCAGTAATCGTGTTTGATGAATGCATCTTTGTAGCAATTAAGTTACAAAATAAAAATCTGTATCAGGCATAGCATGCAAAGATCTATAAAGAAATGAGAACTCACTAGTCATCACTGCTTCAGAGTTCAATGCTACGCACCTCGTGCCAGTACTAGCGTGCATGACCAGCACAATAAAGTCAGCTATTTATATCTCCCCCCAAAAAACACAAATTACTTTTTAGGAGAGCGACATACGCTCTTCACCCTAGCTGAACCTGCCTTCAACACACATCAAATATTGCTGATCAGATAGAAAAATTGCACCAACCACAAAAGAATTTTCATCAGGGTAAAGCCATGGAGTTGAGCTTATGTGAGTTGTGCTGAGGTAAGCACACTGGGTTTTGCTTGCTTTCCAAAGTCAAGTAGGGCTGGGCTGATCCTGGGTTGGAAGACCACCTAGAAGTTAGAGGCAGGCTGTAGTTCAAACCCAGGAAGCAGCATGGAAAAGATGAGGGAAAGAGAACAAGTAAGAAGGCTCATTCCTGCCCTATTGTTAACATGGTAGGGAGAATAACTCAACTGGATGATGACCTAGCTCCAGCAGGTGGCTTGAAGGTTCATTTGTATGGGCTCAGATAGTGATGCAGTGCTTCCATGCAAGAGGTGAGAGCTGCACTGGTGCCCTGTGTGTCTGTTAGTCAAAACCTGAGCAATCTGCAGCTGTGACACAGGCTGCACTCATCCACACAGAGCTTCCTCTTTGGCTGATGCCTGACATGTGAGGATTTAAATCCTTGCACAGAGAAGTACAGAATTAGAGCATGGCATGTCAAATTGGCAGCTCAGGGAAAGCCTCCTCACACTTTGCTCCCTCTCTGCAGTTACCCAGCTCTTTCCAGGTGCTGTTGCAGAGATACAGCCCTTTGTCCTGTGGTGGGAAGCTTGGTCCTGCTTGGTAGAGCCTGATGCTGGAACTGTACCTCACTTCCCCACCCCTCCATGCTGAGGAGCTGGGTGGCTCAGCTGTGGCTTTCTTCTGCTCCCCCACACCCAAGCACTGATCCCTGTGTATCTGCTCCCAGCACTGCCCCAGGAGCCATGGCAGCAGGCTCCTGATGGCCACCAGAAATAGCGGCTTTTACACAGTGTCCTCTCCAGTCATGTCCTGCTCCCCCAGAGGGGCCCTGTCATGGACATGGCTTTGGACTCATACACACATCCAGACACACACACAGTTTTTTTCCATGGCTGCTTCTCTGTCATTCTATGCCCCATTGAACATTTCTGTCTCCAGATTCACATCTTATTGTTCAGGAAAAATTAAAGACTGGGTGTGGAAGGCTGAAACAACTGTTGATGTGGACTGGCATGGCAGTTTCCATAATTTAGCACAGCACTTAATTCACCCAGACAATGAATGCTGATGTGCTAAAAGAGGCCTGGTTCATCTGGGACATGCATGGCCCTAGAGTAAAGGCATTGCAATTATTTTCTCAGGGAAATTGCTCTGAAGATAAACCACAAGAGTGCAGCTCAAGTCAGCATGGGAGCAAGCTCAGCCCTGGAAACACTCGGGAATCATCTGTTACTTGTAATAGTTCTGTAATTTTTTAATTTTTTTTTTTTTTTAATTCTTAAAGTAGTTCAAGATTCTTCATTAAAACCTCCCCCTTTGAATACTCTATGATTTATCTTTCCATGAGCTAATGGAAGGGATGCCACATTGCAAAAGACAGGGAGGACTTTTAGCATGAATGGGAAAACAAGCTGACCAACAAATTAAGCACCAACTCTGGATTTCAAAGAGTGATTTCCTTCTGCCCTGACCTTGTAAGCTGAAGATCCTCCTCAGCTTTGGGTCACCTGTGGAACTCAGGCTCTCTTCTACCAAAACATGAGCTGCAATCTGAGCAAACATTGTGACTTTAGGGATTGCATTGGGGAAGAGCCCTGAGATTTGCCTTTTACGCCTAGGCAGAAGTGGTAAGGACACCCCCCACTCTGTGAATTGTTGCACCATTTTCTTCAGGCTATTTCTGACAGGGGGTCTGTGGTTTATATTTTGGGGCATTCTGAGGTATGTACATGGATCATGCAAAGAGGAAAATGCCATCACAGCTCTGGACTTCTAATCTCTACACTGGAAGTGACCCCTGTGGCAGAGCACAGAGCCTGCCAGGGCCAGTCCTGATTTACACTGAGGTAATTGGTTATACCTCCACAACAACAAGACAGCCCAGTCTCCCCCAGTTACTGCAGCACCAGTGTGTTTGCCAGCCTTGTAAGTAGTGTGCTCTATCCCACTGGTGTCCAGATGTGGCAGAAGATATGATTTTCCTCTGAAAAAAACCAGCCAAATTTTCAACAAATTCTCCCATTCTAACCTTGGATAAAGTTGAAATTTTGCAAGGTATTTTTAAAAAAATAACGAAAAAGCAACAGCCCCACCCCCCCACCCCCAAAAAACCCCAACCACAACAACACCCTCCCTCCACAAAAAAAACCAAAACCAAAAAAAGCCCAAAAACCCCTAAAGCTAACCAAACAAAAGAAACCCCAAAACTGAAAAACAAGCAACCGCTATGATGTAATAACCCTTCTTTAAATCTCTGATTTTGTCTGAATCAGAATAGTAACTTCAACTTGCGTTTCAGCAGTCTTCTCTGGGCCTAAACCACTATTCCAAGGTGCTTTTCAATTTTCTTATTCAACCCGATCTCTCCAGTAAAACCAGTTAAATAGCCAGAGCAAGGCAGTTTAACTGTTGGTAGTGGTATGGAGGATGGTGAGGATGAGTGCCTTGCTGAGCCACAGCCTGTACCTCCCTGGGAGAGTCCTCCTCCTCCTCACCTGGGCTACACGTGGGCCTGGCTTTTTAACCTGAAATGTTATTGTGGGCCACAAAATTACAACAATTACAATAGCAGAAATTTCTGAAGCAGCAATGAACCTTCCTAGTGAAAAGTTTCCGCATCCTGTATCAGGAAACAATCAACATTTTCACATTTTCCCATGAACAACTCCACTGTCCATAACCATCCAGGACTGCATGCCTGGCACTGCCCCCATAGGGTTTCTCTCTGGTTTTCACAGCCCTTGATCTGGTTCATTTCAGCTCTAAGCAAGAGCAGATGCAAACTCATCCAAAAGCAAGGGGGCATGCTCAGGTGGCAAAAATGTCATGTGGATTATCTTGTGAGAGAAAGAAGAGGAAAAACTCATCCAGAACACATAAGGAGCAAGTGGGTGAGACCTGGCATAGCCCTTGGTGCAGTGCCAGGCACCTTAGGGAATCTCCCTTATCCTCAGCACTGAACTGGGCTCTGAAAAACCTGCACTGAGCCCAAACACTGCTTTAGATTTTCTCTATTTCTCACCCCAAGAAGACAGGAATAATGTTTTTAACAGCAAGATAAGCATTTCAGCAATAATTGGTAAACTGCTTCAAATAAAAATGAATTGGCATTTTAACTGATCTTTGAAATTTAGGGTAAGAATTCAAATTTTCAGTGACTTCATCATGGATCTTTTCTAGTTGTGTTCAAGATTGTCTCAATTGGAGAATTCCTGTGGGAAAGGGCTTTTTTTTTTCCTCCTCTTTTTGGATAAGGAACTTAGAAGTGGCAGCAGAAGTGGTTCGTGAAACCTTATAAATATTTGGAGTATAAGTAGGTGACACAAAATTTTACATTTAACCACGTGGACTCCAAATAAATGGCTGAAAATTGCTCTAACCATAGGTTTCAATATCAATCACCTGATGATGGGATGCAGATCTTTCCAGAGAGGTCAGAACTCCATAGTTATTTCACTCAACAGTACCCAGTCCCGAAACCCCCTATTTTTTATCTTTTTT